TACATTATTTTTATTATTAATATATAATAAATTACATAAATTAATAAAAATATAGAAACCGTATAAAGATAATATTTTGAGAACAGTAAAATGAAAGTTTAAAAAACATAAAATACAATAAATAAAATTTAAAGAATTAATAAAATATAAAAAAAAGACATATTTGATGTTTTAGAAGAGAATTAAGTTTTATTTTGAGCTTATATTAGTAAAATATAAGTCTGTTTCACCTTGTTCCATGGGGTTGGAATGGAACAGGCATGTTCCACTCTGTTCATGTCTGTTCCACATAAAATTCATGCCAAACACGAAACAACGATCCTTGTCTAGTTCCATTATGTCCTTGTCCAGTGTACCAAACGCACCATCAATGACCATGCAAGACTTAAATCGTTGATCTCTACAAATAATCTCTAAAGAGATCTAGTCTTGTTGTTAGTTGTGCTAATCTTACAAAGTTTATTTTTAAAAATCATAATATAATGTTTTTCAATTATGGTTTCTAAATTGAAATTCTGGATTAAATTAAAAGCTATTTCATTTATTTTACTCGATATGGTTTAATGATTTTGATGTCATAAAGTACAAAATTATTATTTATTGGAAATTTAATTGACGTATCATGTAAAATAATGTTTTCTTTTTATGATATGTTGTATAATTAGAATTACGTATTAAATGAGTGATATATTATTTTAAGATTTTGCATCTGATGGAAATTTTTAAAAAATATTTTAATACTTTAATGAGGAAAATTGGATTTATATATTGAAACCATCACTTCCACACATATTAAATATGCATATCTCACGTTCTATTTTTAAACAATTTGTCATTCACATAATATTTTCGTAATAAAATTCTATACGAAATTGTAACCCTCACGAACCAGGTGATTATTGAATGTTAAAAATGATCTGTGCCACATGATAAATTTTTTAATTTTAGGATAAATGAAAATCATAAATTAATATAAATTGATTTAAAATTTATAAAGTTATCTTATTATTTTAGTTTAAGTTGCAGTGTATTTAAAGATGTTTATCAGTTAAATCTATAAAGTTTACAAAATCTATTTCAATTCTAATAAATTATTTATTTTTGAGATTATAACATTGATTATATTATTAAAATATTTTTTTTGTCTAATAAAATATTACTTAATTTTCTAAATATTTATTTTTAAAGTTTCTATTGATGAAAATACTAGTCGTGTACCCGCGCAATGCGGCGGAAGCCATGAATTTTAACGATTTTGAAGTTTCACTGATTTTATAAGACAAGATTTAACGATGATATAGGTTACACTTGATCTTTATATATTAATACAATTTGAATAAATAAGAGTTATGGTTCTAATTACAGATTATCGATGAAAAAAATTGTATGACAGTTTAAAATCCAATATATTTAAAATTCAACATATTTAAACGACTCCACAAATGTGTTCGATTTACACCAAGAGCAAAGAACCAAAAAACTTGAGTTTTAAGATAAACACTCAAAATCAATAAAGAAAACTACAAATTTGACAGATCATAAGCTATGAAAATACCAAAAAAGATAGATTTTAGAATGAAATTTCAACTGTTTACCCTCTTTCTTGTCCAGAAGCTCAGATTAAGGTTGAATTAATATATATATATATATATATATATATATATTTCAAAAAAACCCAAGAACATATTATACAGTGCAATTTGGACAGCCTAATCCCAAAATGTGTAGCATATATATATATATATAAATAACTATAAAAGTATAAATAGTAAACATTAAAAATATTTTTTCACAGTATATATAATATATAATAATATAATTAAATAAAAAACTATTCAATATTAGACTCATTTCGAAGGTATTAACAAGACGATTATAATAGTGTAACTTGTTAAAATAAAAATGTATTTTTTAAACATGTTTTATTTGATATACAATTATGTATGTTAATTTGATATATATTTAAAATGAAACATTTAAAAGTAAAAGACGTAAAATAATTAATTAACTAATTATAGAGATATAAAATGTAAATTTAAAATTATAATTTAAAAAAAATCCGTAGGTAAATATATATGAGGGGATGTGAGGGAATGAGTGTATGTGAGAAGAGGAATGGATGAAAAAGTGAAAAAGTGAAAAAATGAAAAGGGTATCTTGATCATTTAGAATTTTAATACTTTAAGACTTTTGATGAATTTGCTTAATAAAATAATATAGATATTAAATAATATTTATATTTTATTGTACTTTTTTTACATGTTCTCCAAATTTAAAGATTTTGAAGAATATATTGGATCAAAAATTACCAAAATCTATATTTTATGTATTTTAAAAAATCTATTGAAAATGTTTTTAGTGATTCATATTTAAAAGAGAAAATTGTATTTCCATTCCTTGCACTTTGGGGTTTGTTTGACTAAAACCGTTAAACGCATTTATTACATTCTTGATACATGTGGTAAGCAAAATCACACCCTCTAACAAAATCAATAACTTTCTTTTAACTCACTCCCAACACACTCCCTCCCCCTAAACTCACATCGCGAAGATCCACCTACCATTCGCCTCCCTCACCGTCAACAATCCTCGTGACTACAACTTCTCACTTACTTTCTCTCCTCTCATACATACACACCACATATACACACAATCACAAGGACAATTAAAGGAAGTCCTTAACCAATAGTTAACTCCTCTCCCTCCCATCTTTGTTGCAAGTTCAATGGAGATCGAGGTCGATGGATGGAGAGGCCAAAAATGGGTTATATGATCGAGGGGTGTGGGGGGTTCAAGCTGTTTCACGTTGGGAGTGGATAGGTGGGAGAAAAGCAAGGATATGACTGGGTTTTTGTGTGTGTACGATAACAGAGATGGAGGTGAACTTAGATACTCTGGTGGTGGCAAATGGCAATAGGCTGACTGGATATGAAGGTGGGATGGTGTTTCACATTGTTTTAGTTGTGAGTCCACCGTGAATGGAGATCAATAAAAGGGGTTGGCTAGAGATGAGTTTCACAACGGAAGGGAAGGTGTTTCATGACGAGGTAGGGAGGGAGAGAGAGAGAGAGGTGGTCGGAGTTGATCTTAGGTCAGCCGGTGGTGGTGGTGCTAACAATGGCAGAGCCAATGTTGGCGTTGATTGATAATAAGATCACCCTCACCCTTGTAAGTAAATCTTATTTATTATAGTGAACAAGGGACATCGTTGTTTTTGGAAGAAAAGAACTCCTTAGTTAAGAAATTATGTATTAAATAACATATACATAATGCTTAGTAATTAATAACTAATGTAATCAGGTTTCTGAATCAAATGTTGAATACTATAGAGTAAAGATATTATTGTAACCTTGATTTTCATATGTACTAGTTAAAGTCAAAGTCAAATGTGTCAATTTCTTTTCCTTTCTTTATAAAGACAATGTTTGAAAAAAGATGGTTAAATGTAAATAATACATGACAATGACTAATAAAAATTTAAATACATTAATATAATTGAGTAAAAAAAGCAGACCAATGAGATGAACTGATAATCATCATGAATCTAAACATGTGATCAAGTTACACATATTTGGTTCACTTTTATATTAATATTATGCCACATTGTCATCAAAAGAATAAAAAACCAATTTTGAAAATGAAACCACAGCAGATGTCCCCAATTTCATGCATCAATCAAGCCCTACCAAGTACCAACTATGGGTGTGTGAAGAAGTACATGAAGAATAAAACCATAAATATGATCTTACAAGATTATTATAATTCAAACTTCTTTTTGAACTTAACTAAAATCTAATGGTAGAAGACGATTTGAGAAACAGATCAAAGGTTTTGAAACGCCTTCTCTATCAAAATCAAAACAAGAGAAGGATCACATCGATGAAAGAGTTAAGAAGAACAAAAGCCATGGTAAACAAAATAGCTCCAACTATTGAAGTATATTTGAATCCGTAACTCAAAGCAAACACAGAAAGAAATTCAGAACGCTATTCAAGACAACAAAACTAATGATAGGGTCAAAATGACAACACCCACCTGACTGAAACAATTGCTGCTTTGCTTAGATGATTCCAATCTTGTTTGCAACATCCAAAGCATCATAATCCGGAGTTAATCGAACATAAGCTTTCTTCGTTCCATCAGGTCTGCATTGCATTTGGACAAACTTAAACAAAGTGCTCACTGATGCACATTAACCGAATTTGGACAAACTTAAAGTGCTCATTGATGCACATTAACCGAATACAGTGCAAACGGGAACAAATAGACTTTGACATAATGCAGAAGTTTAAAAATAAATAGATGCATAATAATCTCAAGTTATATGATTCTAGTTAAAAGCCTATTATTTTATTCACATTTCTAACTCAATTCCCATTCAGAATCATACTATCAAGAGTGAGTGATTACATAAAGATAATTGATAAAAGTACCTGATCAATGTGTTCACTTTCTTGGTCTGGATGTCATACATCTTCTTCACTGCAGCTTTGATCTTCTTCTTGTCAGCACGGATGTCAACGATGAAAACAAGTGTGTTATTGTCTTCAATCTTCTTCATTGCAGATTCTGTGGTCAATGGGTACTTAAGAATCTGATAGTGGTCCAACTTGTTTCTTGGTGGGGCACTGATGCGGGGATACTTGGGGTTCCTGTCTGTCTTCAATGTCCTTGGGCGATGAAAGGTAACCTTGGTTCGGATCTTCTTGGCCTTCTTCTTGAAGGTTGAACCTGTCTTCACAGCCTTGGCTGTCTTCAAGGCCTGAGCCTTTGCATCACCTTTCTTTGTGGTGTCAGCTGTTAAATACATGAAAACATATATAATTCGCATTTAGTAAAAGACCCGTGATGCTATTTTGTAAGTCAAGTGTTAGCACATGCAACCATTGGTAATGTTTTATCAGCCCATCTCTGATTAACAACTAGAAAAGCTTCTCTATACCAGGCACACGAATTCTGACTTCTGTACAAATTGAAGTCCACTTTGCTAACTACTAGAAAAGAGTCCATTTTGGTGCTTTCATTATAAAATTTGAGAAAAGTATTTATATGGTTTTACCTCATACTCAAGCATGATGGGCAAAAGAGTACAGTATCAATTTTGATACAACACTGTAAAATGCAAACACATAATCTAATACCACACTCATAATTTCATACAATGGTTAATATTGGTATGTGTAGATGGTTGGGGTAATGTCTACGAGTGAGATGCTAAAAGAACACCAAACACACAAAAGAGGCTATGGACCCGATATGATTTGATAAAGGGAGTTGGACCATAGCCTGTTAAGCTGGACAGTCGATCAAAGCACTATAGAGGTGGTTTAGCAGTCAGCGGTAGTGGTCGATTAGCCACTCTTCCGGCTAGTTCAATTAGCTAACTCATGACCTTTTCAAAGTCTATCACTATGTTGCTTATGTGGGACTTTATTTTATTCACTTTAATTTATATGTATTAGACACATTTACATTTAAAACGTATTAAGTTATTTACTTCTTTATATATAATTATTTCTATTTATCATATGAACAAAAAAAATTACTGCTATACCACTGCTTTAGTGCTTTAACAGCACGATAACCACTGTATCAATTCAAGATTCTAACAGTGATTTCATAAACTAACAGTCTACCGCATTCGCACAAGAACTATAAACACCTGACACCAGTTTATCAATGAGCGAATTTACAAACTTGACATGAGATCAAGTTGAGGAACTAAATCAACTTGTTTACAGATCTATGAACATTATTGTATAAAACACATTATAATTGATATATAAAAAATGTACTTTACCATTTCATGAAATAATAATTTTTAATACACACGCAAAACAGTCCTTAATATATAGTAACCAAGCTTGAACCCAGAACTCGAAAATGGACAAATAACAATACCACTGTTAGTTAGTGGCACACAACAAGCAATTCACTTCCATGATTGAATTGAGTTTATTTATAGACATGCAGCCTATAACAATAAAGATTTTACAGTAAACCCTAGTTCATTCATTACTCACTAAACTTGTCTACAAAACATAAATTGAGAAATAGTAGCACCAAATAAAAAAACGGAGTTGCTTAAATGAATGAAGAACACGAACCTTTAGGCGCCATTGTTAACAGAAGCTACTCCGATGATGGATGAACTGAAAATTACATAAATAGGTAAATTAGGACAATAGATAAAAATGTTTAGCGATAGATCTGACATCGAAAGCATATAGAATCCCTTTGGTAAAGAGCAGCAATGCGGTTTAGAACCCTAGAAACCAAATTGAAGCGAGGAAGAGAGGGGGCGAAATCATACCCTGCAAAACGGTGATGAGGCGCGGCAGCAACTAGGGTTTTGGTGTATGGTGAGATGAGATTTATAGTAAAACATAATTTCTTATAAATGGGCCGGGCCGTTTCAATACGAATTATCAACAGGCTATGGATCCAATTATTTAACCCAATTTTATCTATACGCATTCGATAAAAACTCTTAAAAACTATTTTTTATACATAAATTATTGTTTGTTAGAAGCGTACTCGCGCAATACAACGAGATACATCATGATTTTAATATTTCATTTTATTCTTTATCTCAGTCGATGTTATAATATGGCTTTATGT